AATGAGGTAGCTCCATACTGATTTTCACAGTAGTTGCACCAGTCTACACTCCCACCAACAGTGGAGTTTCCCCACAGACCCACCAGCATTTGTTAGTTGATTTCTTGATAACAGCCATTCTGTCCGGGGTGAGGTGGAATCTCAGCTTTGTTTTCATTTGCATCTCTTGAATGACCGGCAATGTTGAACATTTTGTCCTATGTTTATTTGCTATATCTACATCTTTGTCTAAGAAATGACTGTTCATTTCAGATACTCATTTTTAGACTGGGTCTTTAAATTTAGGAGGTCTGATTTGTTTTAAGTTCTTTATACATTCTAGAGAGGACCCATTTGACCCAGCTATCCCCCTGCTGGATATCTTCCCAAAAGAATTTAAAAAATCATACCACAACAATATATATGTACTCATGTGCATAGCAGCATAGTTTGTAATAGCTAAAACTTGGGAACAATCCAATTGCCCATCAACTAGAGACTGGATAAAGGAAATGTGGTATTTTTATAAAAAGGAGTACTACTCAGCCATAAAGAATGAGAAACCAGAGACATTTATAGCTAAATGGAGGCACATTGAGGCAATACTCTAAAGTGAAATAAATAGAACACACATGTATAAATACCAAATAGTTTCTCTGGTGTGAGAAACCGAAAGTGTAAATAAGAATCAAAATGTATAACAGATAATGTGAAATAGGAAAAAAAGGTCCAAAGGGGAACAGAAAGGGGGAGGGGGAGGGGAAAGGAAAGAAGGGAAAGGAATAAATATGAGAAAAGGAAAAAATGGAAACAAAGTCTTTGTAAATAGGAAGAGGTGGAGGGGTTGAAGGGAGGGCAGGGGAATGGGGAAAAAGATAAGAACCAAGATACATTATGTAAAGGTACAATTCCCAACAGTGAATGTCAGCATATTGTATACCTAAAATGTACCAATAAAATTAATGAATTTTTAAAAATGTGAATAGAATGAGATGGTGAAACATGATATAAATAATAATTTCTGTAAGTGCTTAGACAAATAAATATGGACTCCAGAAAAAAGAATACAGTACTTTCACATGTATATCCTATTTGACCTTTTAATACAAAGTGAATAGATTATCACATAAAAACTAATGTCACCTTTCTTTCCATTCCATAAATTCAATGTAGATTTATTGGAGATTTCAAACAATGTAGAAAAAAATTGTAGAAGATTTAAAAATGGGCAAAATAATTATTTTCAATGGAATATTGGCACTTTCAGAGATTAACTGAGTCAACAGGGCATGGGATTTACAATCCTATATATCTGTAGAGATGAAAGTTAATTTGTAGAAAACTGGTGGAAATTCAAATAATTCTTGTTCATAGAAATATAAACTTTGTCCAGTAGAATTGAGCCACTTTGTATCCATTTGCTTGTAATTTAGCATGGTAGATGACAGTCATGATTATAACATCTTTTACACTGACTAAAATGAATACAAGATGATTCCTGGTACTCCTCAAATAAATTAAAAGTACAAAATAAAAATATACTGAGGTACTAAAATATGATATCCCTACCTTCCTACTAAGGAAGACAGATACAGTGAGGCCTGATTAGATTGATACAATGAGAAGTAAAATAAAACTATTTTCTCACTATAAGGTTTTAAAAAGCTTTCTTCTCAAGGTTATCTCTTAAGTTACAACTACAGGATAAAGCAGGGGACAAATAACTGGACAACTTCACCCACCACCTGTCCTCAACATACAGCCCTTGAAAAAAAAAAAGCTGTTTTTAGATTTTTTAGTGTTTGGGGAGAAAGTCAAAAGAATGATTATCTAATGACATGAAACTCAAATATCAGTGTCCATAAGTAAGGTTTTGCTGGAACACAGTCATGCTTATTTTTTTTATATATTATTTATGGCCACTTTTATGTTACAATAACAGAGCTGAGTAGGTGCAAAAAAGACTTATCAGTTCATACTGCTGCTTGGCACACCATAAATAACAGCACCCTAACTAGCATTTCAATTTCCACATATTATTACTATAACACATTTTTAAAAAATTAACAGTGCATGGGTTGGGCATGCAGCTCAGTAGTAAAGGACTTGCCTAATATATACAAGTTCCTAGGTCCCATCCCCAGTACCATACCACAGGGAAGAAAAAAATGGTGCCCAATGTATACACATCATGTAAAAACAAGAAAATAAGAGCTAATGTGGTGTATGGGACAAAACAATGTTAACTACTATAAATTAGATGGCAAAATACTGTGTGTTATGCAGTGACACTATAGGAGTGCTAAAATGAAATATACATCAACATTACTAAACTATGCACTGGTCAAAAATATCCCCAACTCACATGAAAGCAACATTCTAAAAAAATTCAAGAATTCAACAGTATACCACCTTGAAAAATACAAAATAATAACAAGATTGCAATGTAAGTAAATTTCTAAGTAGCTCTTTTGTTAGCCAAGGAAGGAAAGTCATTTTCTAACAGTAAATCAATTATATTATGTTTGTGTGCAGCAGCCAAAGAAATGTGTTCAGAAAAAATGAACTGGCTTAAGTTCATCAACTACATCTTGGTGAAAACAGTTGCTTGAAAATTTGAGGATATGTGCAGCAACATCAACAGTCAATTAAAAAAACAAAGCAAATGCGTGAGGACATGGCAAAGTGTGGAAAACCTGGCTAGCACATGCAAGACCCTGGGTTTGATTTCCAGCACATGCTCATGTGCACATGTCTACACAAATGATTTCAAGTGGTTTTCCTTCATGACTTGACTCTGTGAGTCGAGAAATGTAAATAGTGGCTCAGTTGCTACTGAGGAGTTAATGTTGAACTTGAAGTGGCTGAAGAATTAGTACCTATGAACATTATGCATGAGACATGTATAGGAAATAACATGTATAAGACATATTGCACAAGACACTTACGGGAAATAAGACAAAGGCTTAGTAGCACATATTTTTGGCCTCTAGTACTAAACACTAAATTGCTTTGGTAACAAGTTTTTACTGAAGATTTAATGATAAAATGAATTTAATTTAAAATTACAAAATAAAACAGCATATATAAAATATACTGGGATAAAGTCACTGAAATGACAACTAGCATTCTTAAAATCACAGAATAAATCACTTCTCAAGCTATCAAACATTAAAATAAGAAAGGTGAGTCTTGTCCCCATACAAACGTGCAGTGGCTGTATTTTCCAAGCTCAGATCATAGGCCCAATATGGGTTTTTTAGGCCATAATGCCAGAGCAAAATAAATTTCCATATTTTGAATGCTCTTTTATTGTGAAACTAAGGAGCTTCCACCTAACCTTCAATTGGAAGCTGTAAGTCTGTAATACAATGAGATGCTAAAAGGCAAAAATGTAAAAAACAATATAATAGAACACTCTACATGCCAAGCGATGAATATGTTCAATTAAAATCATATTTATGCACTGATACCAGTATTTATACAATCTATCTGAATGAAAAGACATTTCAAAAATAAAATATGTACAATCTCATGGATCAGCATTGACAGATAAACATTTGATTAAATTCTGATGATAAGGAATACTAACTTTGAACTACAATTAAGTTAAATGTTATCTATCACAAAAATAATTTCATTATTTTTATTAATAGATCTAAATTACAAAAAGAGTTCATAAATGAGTTCCAAACATATCTACACTGTTCATTTTTCAACCTATCCCTAAAAAAAAATTGCTTTTTCAACAACTCAGTAAATGTATATTCCATTCCTCAGGGTGAACATGCCAGAAAACTTGAAGTCATCCTTGGCATCTCTTTTTCTCATGGTCTTTGCTCACATTCATCAGCAAAATCAACTGGCTTTATCTGCAAAACTGTATCCAGAATCTAACCAAATTTCACCATATCTGCTACCATCCTAGATCGTGCTACTGCCACTGTTCATTTATTCTAATAAACTGCCTCCCCCTACTTACAGCAACCTAAGATTTCCATTAAAATGCCAAGTGAGGGCCAGGGATTTAGCTCAGTGGTTCTACCACCTGCCTCACAAGCGCAAGGACCCAAGTTTGATCCCTGGTATGGGAAAAAAAAAAAAAATGCCAAGCGAGATGTTACTTCTTGGCCAAAAATCTTCCAATGGTTTCCATCTCACTCACCATAAAAACCCAAAGTCATTCTCAGTGGACTACAAGAAACTCCACGATCTGATCTCCACCTGCCCAACCATTCCTCTGACTTCATCTCGTCATGATCTTCCCCCAGCTCAAGAAATTTCAGCCACTTGGACTATTTGTGTTTCTCCAAGCTTCCTTTTTCACCTGTGCCACCACCTTTAACTTGCCCTTCCACTGCCTAAAATGATGTGCTCCCAGATAAACCCAGTCACTGCCTGTTCCCTCATACTATTTTTTTTTTATTCTTAAGTTCTTTTATTGGTACATTTTAGGTATACAATATGTTTACATTTATCATTGGGTGCTTGTACCTGTACATGATATATCTTGGTTCTTATTTTTTCTCCATTACCTGTGCACCCTCCACCCCCTCCACCCTTCCCTATTTACATAGACTTCATTTCCATAAATTTATACAGCTATCTTACATTCTTTTTTTACTGTCTTTGAAATCCGATGTGTATTTTGTTTTTCTTTTGGTACTGGGGATCAAACTCAGGTCCTTGCAATTGCAGGGCAGGTAGCAGAACCACTGAGCTAAATCCCCAGGCCTTCCCCTCCTACTCTTAAGGCCTTCACTCAAATCTCATCTTCTCACAGGGATTATCTGTGATTGCCCTGTATAGCCAACAACTACCCTTTCCACTGATTCTCTACTCTGTAGCCCTATCAGTCTGCTCACAGAGAACAGCTGCCTGCTACCTTGTTCAACAAATATTTCCTGAATAAATGAACAAAGCAACCAAAACAATTGTACTTTTTTCTGTAATGATTCCTCAGTTAATTTTACTTCCATATGTACCACACACATACTTAAATATGAATAATACTGATTTACCATTGCACTAAGTGTTTCTTCCCAATCAGGCCGCTCTCGGGGATGAACATTTCTATGTAGTTCTGGAACAAAATCATCCTCTTCAGAATGTACTGAGGACTTCATCTTCCTAGAGATGAAAACATGAAAGATTCTGATAAGAATTTCCATTTCTATAAAAACTTCCCAATGAACCCAATTCAAAGAGCAGAAAAATATATTTGATTTTAACTTTGGTTAAAAGAACTCAAGTGGCTAGCACTGATCCTTTATTTCCAGTCTGGTTTTCAGAGATCTTTTCTGATGTGCCAAATACCTGCTTTTTACTCCAGAACACAAAAGTAAAGTTTAATACTGGTTAACTTCTATGGTTAATGGTAGTTATCATATAAAAAGTGGTTTTGCCGATTTAGCTCAGTGGCACTACACTTGCCTGGCCAAGTGCAAGGTCCTGAGTTCAATTCCCAGTACCAGAAAAAAAAGTGGTTTTATCTTTTTAGCACAATTTGAACCTTGAAAACAATCTATAACACCAATATTTTATATCAATACCTATAGAATTGTGCTAAGCATTAGTAACATTGCAGGACAAAGAAGAAATAGGTATTTCTGGTTCCAATCTATGAACCAGAGTGCATCAAACTAGGACTCTCAATGAAACATGAACGCTGGGGAAAACATGAAACAATTGCCCTGAAGGCCCAGGAAAGTAACCAATACAGGAAGCACTTCGAGCACCACAACCTCTAAAAGGAGAAAAGCCAATAAGATGATGCTTACATTTAGTCACTCCTTTAATATAAGATTCTTCCAAATCAACAGGAAATAAAGTCCAAGGATAATACTATAACCTTAAATAGCTTATAGGGAAGAGGTGAGGGATGTAGGTTCAGTTTACCAAAGCAGAGGACCTTCACGAAGTAAAATGTTTACCAAAAGGACCTATAGAGAAAGAACCTGAAAGTCTTCATGAAAATCCCCTCAAATTATTAACAAGTATCATCACAAGTACACAGCCCAAGATGATGAATAAATAGCCACTTAAAGAGTCGAGTAGACATTCTAGCAGTGCAGCTAAGGAGACAGAGGTTGGCAAAGAACTGCCAAGATGGAGGAGCCCTAAACACACCTGAACTCTCAACTAAAACTTTAAAGAGCCACATCTTCAGAAGAAGGACAAAAAAGCCATAGATAAACTCTAAGGAAGCCTAAAACCACATCTTGATAGAACCAGAAGTGCCAGGGAAAAATTAACTCTCTTTGGAGGGAAAAAAATTCTCCAGGCTCTGCAAAATTTTCATCCACATTATCTGGGATCCAATAAAAATTATGAAGTATGCTTCTTTTTAAAAAAGAAAAAATAGAAAAAACGTCAAAACAGAGAGATTTACATGTTAATGGATTTTTAGAATTAACAAAAAGATGTTAAAATGGCTGTGATACATCTTTGGCTTCTGTAAATAGCATCACTCCTAGTTCAACAAAAAAATTCACATTATCTATAATTTTCTAGAACACATCAGATAACTAAGGTCTCAGGACAAACAACTAGTCTGAACTCTAGAAAAACAAGCCTCTCCACGAAGAGACAGATCACAAGCAATTACTTGCCTGGGGCAAAGCACATGGAATGAAAGATACATAAGCTGCTAAGAAGTAGGGTAAATTTCTGTCAAGTTGCTAAAACACATGTATGATCAATACATTCAATTAAATAAAAGAAAAACAAAAGATAAGGTATACAGAGAATTAAAATCTATGAAAACTAACAGTTCAAAACAAAACATAAAATATCTGAAATGAAGAACTCACTATATGGGTTTAACTCAGCAATACAACATGGCTAAAGAGAGGATTAGGTAACTGCAAGATAACAGAAAATATCTATATTGAGGCACACAAAGGAAAAAAGGAAGAGAAAAATCACAAGAAAGCATAAAGAACAACAGACTAGTAAACTAAACTACAGGTGGAGGGCGTGAAGGGAGGGCTAGGAATGGGGAAAAAATAAGAACCAAGATGCATTATATAAAGGTACAATTCCCAATGAGAAATGTAATTGTGTTGCATGCCTACAATGTACCAATAAAAGAATTTAATACAAAAAAAAAAAAACTAAACTACAGTATGACAAATTGATAACTCGGAAAAAAAAGATGAAAAAGAGAAAGAGACAAAAGCAATTTTAAAAAATGGCTGAAAAGTTTTCCAAGCTTTTGAATGTCATCAAGCTAAAGATATGAAGTTGTATAAATCTTAAGCAAGATTTAAAAAAAAAGCTAGGTTTATTAGTTAGACTAATAAAAACCAAACACTAAGAAAAACTGTAAAGAACAGAGTACAAAAGACAAGTTGACTACAAAGAAGCAATGTGGTTTTTGCCAACCTACAACTTCGCACCTTGCAAAATTACCCATTAAAAAGGCAAGTAAAATAAACTACTTTCATACAAAAGCTGAAGGAATTTACTACCAGGAAATCAAGTAGACTGATCTCAGAACTACAGAAATAGGAAAAAACAATAGAGAAAAAAATGAAAAAATATGTAAATATTAATGTAAACCCCAAATTAATATCATTGATATTTATAATATATAAATATAAAACAACTGTATTAAATGAAAGACGCCAGACTATATACTACATGGCCTTCCGTCTCCCTGTCTCCCCCGCCTCACCCGTATATATAAAAGTCAGGTCTATAAAGACAAAGCATACTGCTACTGTCCAGAATAGCCAAGTCCACAGAACCCTTAAGAATATTAGCCTTTCTCAGAGGCTGGGGAAAAGGAACATGAAGAGTTACTGCGAACGAATAAGGAATACTTTCTGAAATGTTCTCAAATTAGACAATGGTGGCTGTTGACAGTTTTGTGAATATATTAAAAACAGCCTAAAAGTATACCTTAAGTAAATTTTATGACATCTATGTTAATTCTATCAAAAAATAGAAAATAGACTAAAAATTCCAGTTAGAATCAAAAGCTATAAGAGTAAGTTTTAAAAGTAACAATCGTATCCTAAAAAGCATAGGAACTTGAAAACAGAAGGGCACCAAAAGGTGGAACACAGAAGCAGAAGAAATAATAGCAACACTAACTTAAGTCAAAGTAGGCTGTAGGCAAAAGGTATCACTAGAGGTAAAGGAGGACGTTTCATAATGATAAAAGCATAATATTTATAAGTTGATATAATTTACATCCAATGTTGTAAGTAAAGTGGTCAACAAATAGCACAGTTTTTAAATACATAAGGCAAAATCTAAAAGAATAAAGAAAATTAGATAAATCTACAATCACAGTTTGGCAATTTGTTAAAAGATTTCTCAAGAATTGACAAAATAAGCAAAAACAATCATAAGTACATAGATGTAAATAATTTCCAATTTCAAATTTCCCATTTTCAACTAATATAGAGGGTTAAACCCAACAATTACAGAATTTATACATTACAGTTCTTTCAAATGGCTATGAAGCATTTGCCAAGATATTATATGCTAGGCAATAAATCAAGTCTCAATAGATAACAAAAAATATAATCTATGAATTATGTGTTTTGTGACTACCACTGAATACTTTAAAAATCAGTTACTAAAAGATAACTAGAAATTCCCCTAAGCATTCAGAAATTAAGAAATCCAATTCTGAATCATTCATATCAAATAAAATCAATGGAAATTATAAAGTATTTTTATCTGAATGAAGATACAATAGAAAAAAATGTGCAGGATACAATTAAGTATTTAAAGCAAAATTTGTAATTCTACATGCATATTGGTGGAAATAACACAAATTAAAATCCATGTTATTCCATCACAAGACGGTTGAAAAATATTAATCCAAAGAAAGGGTGAATAAAAAACATTTTTTAAATAAAACAATGAAATAGAAAGCAGATGTACAATAGAGAAAACAAAGAAAGACAAAAATTGATCAAGAAAAAACAAGATACAATAGAAAGAATGAAAAGAAAGCTTTAAGTAGGAAAGCGTATGGACATTAAAAATTCTAAGGGCAATAAGAACAATTTATTTCAATGTACGGTACTTGACAATTTAGTTGAAATAAATACCCTGAAATTCCCCAAAACTGAAACAAGAAATCAAAACATCTGTAATTTTATGGCTATGCAAGAATTTAAATCTTTAAGGAAAATATGGGTCCAAATGCATTCACTGGTGAATTCTTTCAAACAGTCAGGAAATAATAACATTTTTATATACATTCTTCTCAAGTATTAAAAAAAACCACTTCATGACCCGATCAATGAGGCCAAGCCTCATAACAAAAGCTGATAAAAATATTACCAAAAAATTACACTTTGATAACATGAACATAGCTACAAAACCTCTAAACAAAATATAAGCAAATCAAACTCAGTAACATACAAAACGATAGTGAGCAAGTGAGATTTGGTCCAAAATGCAAGTTGATTTAACATTCTAAAGTCAATCTCTATAAATGACCACAGTATTAAAGTGTGTGTAGGGGGGTTATATCTCATATCAATAGATAAGATTTAATATCTATTCATATATCTTTTTTTTTTTTTGGTACCGGGGATCAAACTCGGGTCCTTGCGCTTGTGCAGTAGGCGGCGAAACCACTGACTTAAATCTCTGGCCCGCTATTCATATATCTTTTAAAAAGTATTTTAATGGAGGTTATTTTAAAAACACAGCTAACAAAATACTTTAAAAAGATGATTACTGAATGGTCTCCCACTGAATTCATGAGCAAGCAAGAATGTAATCTTCAACAAAAAACTGTAATTGAAGTCCTACTCGGTTTTTTTTTAAAAGGCAATGGAAAGAAAAAATAAATAAAAGTCATAAAAATTGCCAAGGAATGCTAGGGATTTAGCTAAGTGGCACTGTGCCTGCCTGGCAAGCACAGGTCCTGAGTTCAATTCCCAGTTCAGAAAAAAAAAAATTGGCAAGGAAAAACCAAAATTTTTATTATTTTAAGATAACATAGTATGTACATAGACAATGAAAAAGAGTACAATTAATTTAGGATTAATAAATTATAGTCCATATTAAATATGTTTATATATACCAGCAAATACAATTACTTACTATGGCAAAAATATGTTCATCGATAACAGACTAGTTTTTCACTATTTTTCATA